TGGGTAATGACACAGAGTGACAGACTGTCCCTTTTCCCTGAAAATCATGTGGCTGGAAAGGATGAAATACTTCAGAGGGGAGAGGAATGACTGACGCAGTGTCCATGAGGAGCTCTGCATCGGAGCAACCAAGAGCACCCAAGCTGCCTCCAGCCACATGTGCTAGCTGCTGGGTACTGCTCTGGGAGCATGGCAAGATGCAGTGGGGAATGCCTGGGAAGGGGGAGATAGAAGACTGTGGTGGGGAAGAAGGGTATAAAAAGGGCAAGGGAAGGATCCAAAGTTTGGCTCCAGGTTTGCTAGCCTGACCTCAAGTGTACACAGAGCCCATGAGAGGGTGAGAGCACGACTAAGCTCTTTGCTGAGAGCAAAAATAGCGACTGTGAAAGAAATGGGAAAGAGGCAGGCAGACAAAAGAGAAGAAAGCTGGTGAAGAAAGGAAAAGCACATGAAAACACTATCCTCTAAACCAAGGCAGACATGCCAGCCATAGTAATTTCCAGTGCAAATGCCCTGCCTGCACTGCAGCTCAGCAGGGATTCAATCACAGTAAATTTTAGGTGACTGTGGGGTTTTTCGTTTTTCTTTTATTTTCTTTTTTGGGGGCAAGGATAGGGGTCTTTTTTGTGTAACAATAACAACAAAAAGGCTGTTTAATTCTGCAGAAGGAACATAAGGAGAAGTTTTGCATAGAGGTGACTGTGTTCTACTCTGTCTAAGGAAGAGATTTGTGGGTGGTTTCATGCAATTTCAGTGGTGTAGCTGATAATCCTACAAAACAATCTCTTCTGCTATGTTCTACGGTTGATTTTTTTAGCCACGGCTATCAATCAGGTTGCTTTTCAAAGCAGGCAAGTGTCAGTGTCTCTGCTCTGTAGAGGCAGCACAGCAGCACAGAAGGGAGAAACAACTTGCTGGGGGCTTTGGTGTTGATGTGCTGGTATGACAGACAGAGAAAGGCCTGCACTTCATTTAAAACCATCAGGCAGACTCCCGTGTGGCTTGACTGCTATGTGGCCAGAAAAAAGGTGGTCATTTTTACATCAGTGAGCTGAAGCAGACTGTGGGAGTCTATTTTGGACTGGAATAACTAACAACATGGGTGGAATTCAGATTTTTTTGGCTTGGTTCTGGTCATTCAGTGTATGATTAGGAAGAAGCATTTTGTGCTTTGGACAAGAATATCTAGAGCCTGAACTAGGTACTTCTTCATTCATTTTTTTTTTTTTTTTTGTCCTAATGATAGAAATTAAATCTACACATAATAGCAGCAACAACAATAACCAAAAATTAGGAAGATGTTTCCCCCACTTGTGAAAACATAACAGCCTCCACAACTTCTCTTGTAACATCCTCTGTAGTATCTCATGTTGGCCTCTCTGAGACAAATTGCTGGTCAATATTGCACTTGGCTGCAGTCCTGCCTGCAAATGTCTGTGTTCCTAAGTAATTTGTGAAATATTTCCACATACTGCTTCTAAGCCTGTATTAGAGATGCCCAAATAAATTATAATCTTCCCCTTCAAGAAATCTCACATTACATACTTTCATGTATTCTAAAGCAAAATTCCTTTCAGTTCTCTCTTCAAAGCACTTGTATTCTCAACAATGGTTTGTAATGTGCTTATCTTGGCCGTTCTTTCCCAGCTGAGAGGCACAGTTAATTACTACAGTCACAGAGCATTTGCAGCAGTGGTTCCTAAACACCCTGCTGTCCTCAAAGGTATGCGATCGGTTCATTCTTGAAATGGCCACCTCAAATAACAAAGTTGGTAGAAATGCTCCAGATGCTTTGCTGATCTTACTATGAGATTATGTATCACCCTTCTTACTTCAAACTTCATTACAAAAAAAAAATAAATAAATAAATTTTAAAAAAAAGAAAAAGATGAAAACAGAGCATTTGAATCTGAACTCCATTCCATCAGAAAATGTGCTACAAATCAAGGATGGATAAAGGAAAGCTATTTGTTTAGAAACCAGGAGACAAGATTGGTGCATGGATGAAGTTGTTTATTTTCTTATATCTCTAAATTCACATCAGTGTTCTTTCAATTTATTTTTCTGGAATTAGAAAAGGGATACATGTGTGTATCTTGCATAGCATAAGGGAAACATCTATGTTCCTTGACTGGAACTGTTTCAAACAAACTACACAACAAATAATCAGCACATGCACTTCATTGGAGAAAAATACAGTGTCACAGGGCTCCAACAAGCAGAATCCAGGATCTTTACCACGTCATCTACACAGTTACTGGGAACAGATGTGGCTGGCTATCTTTTGAGGGTCAGACACAGAGCACTCGCCCTGTGTAAAAACCTGGTAAATAATAAATCCAACCTTGCAAACAGTGCTGAACAGCTTGAGTTTTCAGATACCTCTGTGTGAATGATGAGGGAAAAATCAACTCCACATAATCCACAGTGTTAAGCAGAAACAGCCTTATGGTAATCCTTAAATTATGAATTTCCAGAAGCTGGGAGCTTTTTTTAAAAACAAATTCATTCCACTAAATGTTTCCCCATCCTTGTATTTTGTATGTTTTTGTACAGTTTAAGGAATTATGTAAAATACAAAAGGGAGAGGACAAAGAAAAACAACCAAGCCTCCAAGTCCCTATAACAAGACAGCAGAGAAAGCAATCAGCCAGATTCATCATCTCCCATTCATCCAATTTACAATTGCTGTAGGGCTGACCCTTGTAGCAAAGAAATACCTGCCAGCTATCGTCCAGTCACGTTAGGTATTACATTCCCTCCCCACAGACCACCAGTGACCAATACATTGATTTTACAATCAGTCCAAAAGCAACATCTTTAACACCACTCTGGATTATTGCCCCAGCTCTGACTCAGGGAACATTTCCTCTAACTCCTGTGTTTTCCTTGGAGACTTCTCCATCTAAACACTGATTGAGCTCAACCAGCTTTATCTTTTAAAATATTACAAAGTAATAAATCACATCTGGGGGAGAGCAGGGCAGCTGTGTTACTGTGGTTTAGCAGGAAGGCCACCATACAGCAAAATGACAGCTTTCCACTTTCCACTCAGGCAGACACGTGCATGTACAAATTGTGCCCCAAGGTCAATAGCCAGGTTTCTTCCTGTGTTCACAAACCCTGGGGATGATGGGGAAGGGATACAAGTGGCAAGGGGCACAGATGAAGTAACGGCTTTTCAAAATTAGCCTGGATGTTACAGACTTCTCAAACAGGCCTTCAGCCTATAGACACCATCCTTCATGGATAAGGCCTCAGTGACCTGTCCTGCAGTCCTGCAGGCTGGAGGCAAGTAAGCAGCAAAGCCTGATGCTTCAGTAACACTGCAGAGCAGCAGGGGACAACCCCATGAAGCAGTTCCCATGTTCAAAGCCACTCCAGCAGCTCCACCAGCTGCCCACCCCATATAGGCCAGCGTGTGTTGTGCTCCTCAGAGCACAACACTCTCAGACCACGACACTCATTGGGAAATACGAAACGTTGGAGACTTGAAGCCAAACAACAAGCCATGGGGTGACTTTTAGAGACTTCTATCCTGCAGACAAGAAATACCAGACAAAGCTGTGTTCTACAGCTGTTTCACTGCCAGGCTCATCACAGCAGGGCCTGGGACTCAGTGTCTAGGTGGTGGAGCCCTGCTTAGCAGGCCAGCTCTCTGCCAACAAGAGGAATCCTCTTCTAGGCATTTGCAGCCTGCACACAGCTGCTACAAGAGTTTCAAGGGAAATCTGGCCCTCTGCTGCCTGCAGCAATTTGTGCACATTTGCAGGTGTGACACGTTTGCTTCACATGACCTCTGGGAAGGCAAAAGCATTGCCTGGAAAGTGTGTCAGTGATACCACTTAGCACTTAGATTTTTGACTTCAAAGTGTTCTACCAACATTAATGAAGTAAGCTTAAAAATAAGAGCTGAAAACACCCTAATAACATGGAAATGTTGCCCTGGAATGAGAATATAAACAAGAAGACAAGAATGCCATTATAAAATGAAGAGTTTTTTTTCTTTCTTTCTTTCATTTTTTTTTTTCTTTAATGAGCTGGCTTTGCCCAATCTATTCTAAATCTAGCTCATCTGTTAAGCTCAGCCCCCCCCCCCCCCCCAAGCCATTTTTTTTTTTTTTTTTGATAGAACTGTTCTGTAAAATAAAGCAATTTGAGATGCAAAATTTCAGTTCCTGTGACCCTGCTGGCCTGGGAGAATATAGTACTCCATTTAGAGAGATTTTAAATTACTCCACTTTATAACTCCAGACTATTTTTCAGGCTATGTAAATGTATGGTACAGAGTCCCTCAAAGAAAGCTTCAGTCCCTGCTTTGAAGTCCTGGGACTGAGGGACACAGCTGGGGTTTCTTCAGGAGCTTTGGACAGTCAGAGGTGCAGTTTTCATCAGAAAGCACTGTCAGGACACACATAACTGTGAGCAGAACAGATTGGTTTGAACAAAGCAGGCAAAATTGCCAAATAGGGGCATCTCTTAAGCAAGACTCCCATTGCTTTTAATGGGGTTAGGGTTATGCCTGCTGGAATGAATTCCCAGCTCTACGCTGAATTTGCTGTAGTAGAAATCCCTTAATCTCTCTGTGGTCCCTTCCCTCTGTGCTCTTTGCTATCTCCTCATCTGCAGATAAGGATGATACTAATGTCTGCCTCCATGGGTGTTATGAAAACTAATTAACTGAGCTTTCAGGAAAACTTCAGCAGAAAAGGCAAATTTTTCATATGATGATGATGCAAATACATTCACACATATTTCCCCTCTATAAAGAAGTAGATTTTGTATGCATAGAGACACAGATATATATATATAAACCCTACCTAACACCTGCCACACCTTTCTCTACATCAAGGCTCTTCTCTTTGCCTTATCTTTCTGTTACAATCCTGCTATTTTTAAACTGCTGGGCTTTATTCCAAGTCAGTGTGGGAATGTCAGGTAGGCAGCTGTTAAAAAAAAAAAAAAAAAAAAAAGAGGAAGGAAGAAAAATGGAAGGGAAGGAAAGAAGGAAGGAAGGCAGGCAGGCAGAGAATTTCCCTTCTCTTTTTTAATATCATTTTTGTTCTATAACCATCGTCCCTGCCAGTCAAAAAAGCTGCTTGGTTTTTAATGAAAAATCTGAGCACCAACAAATTGCAACCCTCCTTTTCAACACAGACATGCCCTTTGAATTTAATTATGCCTCAGGCAATGCATTATAGCAGACATGCGATAAGTGACACCGAAATCTTACAACAAACACAGCGAAAAATCTCTCAGTGGGAAAAAAAAAATAACTAGGAGCCAGATTTCCTCTTTGGGTACCAGCATCTGCCTGTTTTATCCCACCTGGGCCCCAGTGGATGCCAGGAGAGCTGCAGCTATATTTAGAGTCCCCATGGGTCCCATCACTGCATGTCCCTTGGTCCCCTGCTCTGGAAGGTGTGCAGGATAACATTAACCCAGAGGAAGGGTGGAGAACCTACTCTGGGGCAGAGACATTCCTGGTGGGGTCACTTGAAGCACCCAGCAGGAGCTGAGAGGAGCACAAAGGAAGCAGAGGAGTCTGGGAGGGCTCCGTTCCTCCCAGGGTAATTTCTCACAAGCTGTGTCAACTATCCGCAGTTAGACAAATACTTGAAATGTCAACATTTCCCATTTTGGTGGGGAGAGGCAGCACCCAGTTACCTTTGGTTTTGTTGTCCTGGGAGCTGCAACAGCCAGTAAGAGGAGCCTGCCTGGGAGTTTTCTGAATGTTTGCAGAAGAAAAATTCTCTGGAAAACAAACACACATGGCCCTGCTGTAACGCAACACCAGGGTCAAGCTCTGTCCTTTTGCATCCTTCGGGATGCTAATATGGGGTAATGTAGTGCCCCTGTGTTATTTTGAGCCTCTGTGGTGGCCAGTAACTCCCAAGCAGCAGCAACTCTGGTGGTGCACAGCGAATGCACCTGTGAATTATCTGGGTGCAAAGCATTTGTATGCATTGGGAGACAACAGTCACTGATGCCTTCTGATTGCTGGTGGGCAAATATCAAGACAAATTCCATCTAACCTCGAAAGTCATGCTGCTATAACCACAAAATGAAGCAATTGCAATCCTGCCTGGGAGACTCATTCTCTCAAAGTGGTTGTATTTGACCTGATCTTTGCCTTTCATCCCTTTTCTCTGCTGTACAGGTAACTTGGCTCACTGGCTTTATAAGAGAAGAGAAATTTTTTCATTGTAAATCAGATATAGCTGTTCACATCTGAAAACCCTTGCTTATATCAGGGAACTGGTTTCTTTTAGTGTGCAGCTGTCACAAGCTTCTGCAGCAACTGTTTTCATTGAAGTTTTAAAGGCGAGAGGCAGATAGTGCTTTACAGAAGAGAGGGCTGGGATGCGCAAACAAGTTATTGGGGTTTAATGTGTTTCTCTGCAGCAGCTGAGCCACACGGGCCAGCTGAGTTCACATCTTCAGCTTGAGGAAAACAGAGGATTTCAGCTACACACGTCACCACGACCTGCTAAGGTTTCTTGCCAGGTATTCACAATAAATCGTTCCCTTTCTTGAGCACAATAACTCCATCACATAACTGAGTCCTCCAGATACTTAAATGTTTAATTCCTTATTTCACCACTAGCTTGCCTTGCAACCAAGGGTCATACCACCTCTTTACGCTTCAAACTTAAGGTGAAAAATGGATGTAACAGGAATGCTCAGTCAAAAGGGTGTTGTAAAGCACAAATGCAATAAAGCCTGTGAGGTGTGGAGATATCCCAGACACCTCAGCTGGTCTGAGGAACATTTTACACACACCTTTCTGCAAAGAGGAATCAGAATAGCCCTGCTTTGCTTTTAGTCATTCACAGTGCTCCTCACTATTTATACAGCTGTGGAGCTGACAAATGTTTTAGAGTCTTCTCTTTTGCTGCAGTAAATAGAAGTCAACTGAGCTGTGCTGCTCTATGGGAACCAAAAATCCAGCCCACTACGCTGCTTGTTTTAATGAGAACCCGCAAGTCACAATTCTCGTACCAACATATTTCTGAGAAGTACACCAAATGGAAATCTGGTGATTTATCAAGCTTTAATCGGTTTGATATAATTCCATAAATTTTGCACCCGAAGGTCTCAGATTGCTGTCCCGGTTACCTGTGCATAAAGCTTGCTTCTGGCAAATGATAATTAATTCTTAAACTTCATAAGCGTCTGAGTTTCAGAGCCCCCAGAGCACATTTGTATGAAGATTAGGACATTGTTTCTTTTCTCCTGTTCTCTTTGAAGTCTTCCCTTCAAAGATTGCAGCTTGCTGTTCAGGCTGCAGAGAGCTTTTCCTGACAGAGACTGCTTTTCCCTGCGCTCACAGAGGCTTTGGGTCTGACGCTGCACTCCCTTACTCCACTGAAATATACAGAGAGATGCCAGCACCGCCTCGCTGCCGGCAGGGAGGAGAATCAAGCCCTTTGCCAAGCGCGTCAAGTGAATTGCTCACCCCCTGTGGGGGAAATTTACCACATAACAACGCAGTAATTGATATTGATGGTGTGCGTTGTTCGCATTTCATTTTTTCAGACGCTTGTTTTCAGGGTTGTGAGAAGTCAGGTTGCGGTGATCAAAGGTCGAAGCCTTAAGTTCCCTGTAAAACAAGTTCCTCGGGGCTATGCTTAATGTGAAAAGAAATTAGCGGTGAGATTTATACCAGGCACATAACTAAGCTAAAACAGACCAAAGACATTAAATTGCAAGAATGAGACACTTCTTATTTACATCCCTGCAAACTGTAAGCAATTGCTCCGATGCTAAACAAATGACCTCCTCCCCAGTTTTACATGGAGTAGGAAGAATCTGGCCCATAACAAACACAGCTGAACTCTGCTTTCACACCTTAGATGAACTTCTTACTTCTCTCTCTTCAAGCTGCGTTCTTCTTGATCTTGTCATGAAAGAATATTTTGCAGCTTCTTTTCTAATGGGAAAAAAAAAAAAAAGGGCAGTCAAGAAGTGTTTTTGTCTTTTTGTATTCTGGGGAACTTTTTCATGTTAGATCATTATAGGTGGTGGAGGAAAGGAATGGAAAGGAAAGGTTCCTATCATTCAGTTTATTTTTATTATTATTATTCATTTTATTATTATTATTTATTTTCTGGTTTCATATATAGAATAGAATAGTTCCTTTGGAAGGGACCTACAAATATTATGTAGTCCAACTGCCTGATCTCTTCAGGACTAACCAGAAATTAAAGCATATCACTGAGGGCATTGTCCAAGTGCCTTTTGAACGTGACAGGGATGAGGCAATAAACACCTCACTAGCTAACCTGTTCCAAAGTTTGACCACCCTCACATTAAAGAAGTTTTTCCTAATGTTTGGGACCTCCCTGGCACAGCTTTGTGCTGTTCCTGTGTGTTCTGTCATCAGTTACCAGGGAAATTGGCCAGCACCCCCCTCTCTGCTTCCCCTCCTCAGGAAGTTGCAGAAAGCAGAGAGATCACCACTTGGTCTTTTCATCTCCAGACCAGAAACCCAAGAGTCCTCAGCCTCTTCTCACAGCATGTGCCTTCCTGCTCTTTACCAGCTTTGTTGCCCTCCTCTGAATGTTTTCAAGGACCTTAACATCCTTTTTATAGTTTGGATAAACTATCCCCACTAGTGAGAAAACAATAAAATGAAACAAAATAAAATAAAATAAAATATAGGGTTACACCTTCATAATTCAGAAACCATAAGGCTGATTCAATAACATATATAGGGTCTCCATAACATATATAGGACTCCAGGGTCACAATGTTAAACAACACAACTCTCCACGTATTCCCATGGCTACCAGTACTCTCAACTGTGCTCCCTCAGTGGCCACTTACCCTCCATGTCATCTGTGAGAAAGTCGCTGTGGAGGCAAATAAAGGTTGCACCATCCAGATGAATCCTTCTAGATTAAATTTCTACTCAATGTACTCACAGTAATGTTCCAAAACACTGGGAAACAACAAGCATTGTTTTACAGTGTGGCCAAAACTGACACCTTACAGTCGGCATCAACAGGGTTTTAGCCAAATCATTGCAAATCACTGCAGAAGCCATCACACTGATGTTATGTGGCTCTATGTTCAGTGGCACAAGTGGTACTTAATTCAAGAAGTGTCTTGCTCATTAGCAGATATCTTTAAAAGAATGTTATCATTAAATCTCTGTTAGATGCGAGGAAGTAGAAGTGCCAGACAATTGAAGTGCTTTGCTCATGTCATCAGGACCAGTGACAGAATCAGCAGTGGAGCGTGGAGTCCTCACACATCCTATCTTTGAACCATCCCTTATGTTATATTGCTTCACAATTTACTTTCCTAACAGATCGAGTCTTTCTCAGTACTCCTAAGCACTCTTGAGTGTTTGAGTGTCATTTCATAACACACTGCCTGGTGAAGAAAATGCTTCTACCTCCTGTGAGTCTTTTTCTTTTATTTTCTTTCCTTTTTTTTTTTTCTTTTTTTTTTTTTTTTCCTCCACAAAATTCAATGTGCAGACCTGAAATTTCTTGAAAGTCATGGTCCAGGCACCTCAACCCTCCACCACCCACCTTGAGCATGCACAGCACCATCCCATGGTGGCCCAGGGGCCACCATCCAGATGAAAAAGAGCCAGGAGAGGAGGTTTATAGCTGAATGCCTTTGCCCAAGGGAAAGCAGGCCAAAGAATACAAAATGTCGGCAGAGGGCATGTTGCCCTTGATTGAGTGGAGAAGGGCCCCCGCTGGCTGGAAACCCAGAATTACAACAACAACAAGAAAATTAGTAAGGCTTGCCAGCTGGGGAGAGACATCTGGCTAGTGATCAGAGGGGCCTGTGAGTCAATTAATCCATCTCTGAGCTGGATTAGCACATTGAAACATGCTTCCCTTCACTGCTGTGGAGCGACCTGTTGAATGAGCTGTAAAGATGAATGGAACTAAAGAAATTTCATTTAGATAAAGAAAAATGGCTCTGAAGTAGTGGGTGGGTGGTTTTTACATGCGCTAAAAGAATTAAGCACAGCTCAGAGAATTTAGGGCATGGAGCAGCCATTTGGATATAAAAGCTCTTAAATTTAATATATGCTGATTTTAAAGTTAGTATCTAGATATCTTCCTCTTTTTTTCATGTTTGTAGCATACCCAGGATGGATGATACTGCAAACACAGATTAGGACAAATAACTCTTCCAGTCCATTCTTCCACAGCTTTGTGTATTTCTGCAGGAGCTACTCCTGCTCTCTTTTGCTATGAAAATGCTGTTGCTCAAGGACATCATCCCACATTTAGCCCTGAAGAGACTGAGACTCAGTTTCCACCTCCTCTGTCTTTGCAGATCAACAGGATATGGTCTCCTTAGATGGTTTTCAGATCATCAGATATAGGACTTGGCAGAACCTCTTTGGTCACTGAGTTCAGTTTGTTCTGTCAAGAGCCATCAGGCCCTTAGTTCCCTCTTCAGTTTTGACTTTTCTCTATTTTGGGCGGCTATTATTCCTGCTGTCAGAAGGCTTTTCCAAAACTTTATTCCTTTACAGTTTAGAATCTTCTTCGTAATTTCTATTCTCTGTTTATTCAGACCCAGATTATACTCACACATACTTGTACCAGAAATGTCTTTAAAGTCTGTTCTCCCTCCTGAGTACTCAGCCCCCTGAGGTGTAGAGAGAGCTATCAAAAACTTCAGCTTTTCTTTTACTCATCTAAATAAGTGAAGCCACATTACTCTCCTCCCCTAAACCAGGTTCACCAGTCTTCTGATTATTATTCTTGTCTTTTTCTGCACCTATTCCTATGAGATTTTTTTTTCCATATTTATACACAGATTATGCACAAGCTTAAAATGATATATTGTGCAATGGCACCAGCATCCCTTTGCATCTACAGAAAATACCCTCTCTGTCTATACCCAAGAGTTTGCATTCATTGATTTCATTGCTTCAAGCATCCAGTCTCCTCTGTTGTTTTCAGCTAAGAAGCTTTTGGCTTGTGGAAAGCATGAAGAATTTTTTGCTAGCACCTGGAAGATTAACACTGAAAACCTCTTAGGAAGAGATTCATGGCAGTGTTTTCATCCAGGAGAGGATGCCCAAGAACAATCTTGATGCAGCTATCAGCAAAGCAAATTCAGTACTAGGATACATCAGGCAAGATTTCTCCAGCAGAGGACTGTCTTTGTGTGTTACTAATAATCTAAACAGTGCCAGTGAAAAGACCTAGATGATATAAGCTGCCCATACAAAAAAATTGGAATGGTCCGTGACATGGTTCTGATAACAGTCACTGAGTTCTCTTGGGATATGCACTGTCCTAAATAATTCCTAGACTTGGGTTGGGACTTGGCAAATGGTGGAGACCATTCACCACAAGTATTTTTCAATGCGGGCACCCTGTTTTAGTGGCTGAGAGAGGCTAGCTGTGTGCGGATGCACTATTGTAAGCCTACTGATCTCATTGCCTCAGAATATCCCCAGATAAATTTAATTTATGGGACTAGACATGGTTATTGATGCTAGCACACAGCTCCTCATCTGAAGGACCGACAGCACACAGTTCTGATCATCTGTATTCATGTCAGAGGAGCTCTAAGGTTGCAACTATAGCTCTTAAGCAAAGAGTGACACAGCATCCACCTGAATGTGATCATCCATATCACTTAATTGCTGCCAGAGTCCCTGGCCCTTGAGTTTTTTGCCAAGAAAACTTTCCCAAGACAACTCCTGGAAAGGGGCTAGAGACTGGCTCAGCCCCAGCAGAGTTCACAACAGGCTGCTGGGATGTGACCATCCAGTTCTGGAGATTTTGGCTTTAAGGGCAGAGCACAGCTGTGCCAGGTGGCATCCTGGCCAGAAAGTGGTCCCTGACCCATCCTATTTGCTAATATATTTGCAGCCAAACTAGATAAGATGCAGAAAAGGTCTATTTGGTTGTTCAAGGGAATGCAGAATTAATTCCATAAAAGAAGGTAAAAGAGATTTTGAATGCTTTTGAAAATTCCCCTTTATACTCAAAGACAGTTTTATGTACAGAAACTGCACATAGCCCCTGGGAATTTGGTCCCGGATTCCTTTAACTGGAACATCCCAAATGACTTCAGCTGTCATAGGCCATGTTGTCTGAGAGACAGTGAGCATAGACACAATATTCACCTTCAAACAGATGCATTGCTTCTCTGGGAGGCAATGACAATTGTTGAGCATTATTTCCTTCCCAATAAATATGAAAACTCCACAGGCAGCAGTCAAAAGAAATTTACTCTCCTTCAAGACATTTCATATGAATGCCATTCTTTCCTCTATCCCTCTGCTGTCTCGTGTCTCAAGGAGAGTGCCAACATGGATAAATTCAGGGCTTATCCCTCTGAAATATAAAGTGGCCTAGAGTAATGAAAGACCAAACCCACAAACATCTGTATATAACCAGGGTCATATCAGGTTTGCAGATATCCAGTCCCTGTTGCTACTGTGTCACCAAGTGTTTGTCGCCAGCTATTGACTCTTATCCAAAACAGATGATGAGGGAAGGATTTGTTCTCTGGATGTTTGTATAAAGCCTAGTGCAGTGAGTGTTTTGCCAGGTTAGGACTCCAACTTAAACATCAACACCGTGCTTAAACCACAGTATTTCTCTTAGATTCAGGTATTTTATCTGTGGAATCAGGGAATGGCTAAGGAGCCTTTTCTTTAAGTGTGAAAGAAAGACAAAATTGGTCTCTGGTTTGGGACATATTCAGCTGCAGGCATGTACAGAGTGTGCCTGTACCTGTACAGAGAGAGTCTGGTCTCTTTTCTGAGGGTCATGATTTTTGCTGTGTGTATGTGCAGTGACATGTTGAGCGCTGTGAACCAGGAGCTAGTGACCTAGGATTGTTATTACAGGTATTTCTCAAATGTGTTTATCCACTTTCATACTCAGAATTCTCAAACCAGAGCAGAACAAGCTATCAGAAAGTGTTAATCAACACATCAAAATGCAAAAGGGTCTTCTCTTCCCAAACCACTAGCCACTGTTAGCAGCTAGCATCTCACACGAGCATACAAATCCCAGGTGCCAAATGTTTCTAATTTTTACAGTTTTGAGATATCTGTATACTCCTCAATTCATTCATTTTGTGGTTATGTTCAATCAATGTATGTTCTAAGACCTCTTGAATAATAAATCACAAAAGCAATCTAATAAAACAGGTGATCATAAATATATATATATGCTTGAAAGCAAGATAGAAATTTAACAAGAAATACAAGGTAGATATGAATAGAACAACATCTTGAGTTTATGGGCTTTTCTTTGCCTTTATAAATATAGCTCAGCTTAGTCTCACAGCCCATCACTGGGATGAAAGCATTCCAACTAGTCTCACATCACCAGTGGGGAATATGGGACTTAGAGGGATGAAGAAATGTCCCTACAGTCACACTTGGTACAGAACCATGAATTCAGCTGAGATTTCCTGATCATCAGCTCATAAGTTAACAATGATGAGAGAAGAGAGTGAATTAGGACTGCTCTAGGAGCATGAAATAGCTCTAAATTTCCCTTGGCAGCCATCAGACTATCCATGTTCCTTCAGTACTGCACAGCAAGATGACCAAGGAAATATAAATACAATCAAGATCATTTTCACCCATCTACCCTCTGTCAGCTGTAACCATACAGGTGTTCACCCACAGCAATGGCCATCTCAGAAATAGGAAACTCCTCATTCAAGAAGTAAAGGAAAAAAAAATAAAGTTTTAAACCTACCTGCAAAATGACCTGACCTTACACTTGTGTGTAAGGGGGGCTCGGTATTATAAAAATAAAGTGTTGTTAAAGCAGAGATTATTAGCTTGTTTACCAGCATGTCCACATGAAACTATGGGAATAATAAGGAAGTATTTAAAACAGATTGGCTGCCTCATTCAGATGTCTCAAGGAGCTGATCCAAAGTGTTTTAATGACACCCAGGAACTCTAAAAGGCACTGGAGCAGGCCCATCAATTTATAGAGCTAGTAGGAGCCGAGCTGTTAGTGCCTTTGCATGACATCCTGTAAGAGAAAACGCTGGCATTTGGCTTACTCAGGAGAGATTTCACCATCTGTTATTTTAGAGAACCAATAATGAGAGAAAAAACAAATAAGCAAAAACCCCTAATGCTCTGTCACCATTACAAATTTAGTGAGGTCTTAAAATATTCCTGCACAGGTAGAGGATTTTGCTGGAGGAGAATCAGCACAGCAACGGGCACAATTACATCCAAGTTTCCTGCGTAAGATCTGTCAAGCAACTCCTATCATCCCGTCTGTAAGTGAGTGTGAGTAATGGGTTTTATTTAAATTCATGTGGCATTTACTACCTACACCCAGACAGATAATGGACAGACAGCAGAACAATGATCAGCAAGTGGCTATCACTTAATTCATGTTTTATTCTGCAGTTTGCCTGCCTTCATCTGTCTTCCTTCTGAACAAGTAAGCACATTCCTATGAATTCACTGCAAGTTTTATATTTTCCAAGCAAAATCATGGCAGTGATAAAAATAATAATAGTAAAAAAATCCCACTGTATTTGTTTCCAAAAGTGTTTTGTTCCATACATACATGTTTATCTTTCTGCAGTTGGATTTCTTATCCCCACAGACACAGCCATCATCTGAACTTCCTAGGCAGCAAACACAACATTTAAGGACTCTATTTTCCTTATCAAAAACAATAGGTACTAAGCATGTTGATAAGGGCAGAACATCCTAAGAAATATTGAAATAATCTGTTGACTTGCTGCAGTTCTATTGATTTCAGAAACACAAAGAGAATATGCTGAACAGGAGGGAAAAAAAAAATTAAATAGCATCACGTGAATGCGGTAGTAAATCATCCTACATACTCTCATCACTGTCAGCTTCCTGCAGGAAGAAAATATGTGTTCAGCCCTAAAACTACCTCCTTTCAATATGAGTATCGCTACGCATTCATTTGCTCCAGCTATCTGAATTCCTTTGGGTTTAGTGAAGCTGTCAAAACCTTACAAGTGTGAATGCTGTTGTGTAAGTAAAATTAATGACTCTTTTTCTGCTTCCCATATTTTAAAGCTTTAAATGAATCCTATTGCTGGGGGAAAAGTCATGAAGAGCAGAGGGGGCTGTCAAAATGGAACTGTAAATCTTTCAGCTTTTAAATTCTTAGACCTGATTGACCTCACAACGGTGCTTCAGACCAGCATTTGTCTTGGTGTTGTAAAGCAAGCAAACTGTCTTTACCCAGGCTTGAATCCCACTTCACAATCTGTTGGAACTAGCTAGGGTATGAGGCTCAAGTGGAACACTCCAGTCAAGCAAGTGAACATCAAAAAACAAACAAAAACATTTACATTTGCAGAAGTATTATCCATATTTATAGTCTGCCCTTTGAGTGCGTGTAAGTGCTGGAGCAAAGGAAGGTAATGTGAACATAGTTGTAAGGCAATTATT